GATATCTTGAAATCAAGGACAGCAGGAAATGTATCAAATAATTTAATGGATAAAGCCAAATCTAGCTTACATTTTCTTCATTGGATTTTTCACTTCTCAGAGTATCCTCTTTATTATTTAGTATAGATGTCTCCCTCACGAGATTCTGTGAAAGTGCATCTACTTTGTCTGACAAAGATTTCACTTCCCCACCCATGCGTTCTTCCTTTTCTGCTGCCAGCCTTGCCATTTTGGTCTCCATTGCCTGTACCTCCACTTTTGTGGTCTTAGTAGAGTCATCAATCTCGGCTATCTTGGCCTTCACTTGTTCGACCTCAAACACTGCAGTGTCTCTGATCCTCTCTGCTTGAACATATTCGTAAGCAACACAAAACCTTCTCAGCTTATCTAACTCGGCAGTGCCATTAGCCCATTGCATGTACTGTGTCCTTTCTTTCCTTAACTTCTCTAAAGCAGGAAGTATCTCCTGGTCAAGAAGCTTATTAATCTCATCAACCTTACTCTGCTTTTTCTCAAGTGTTTTAAGTGCAGCCTCTTTCTTCGTCTCATACATTCTTGTCCCTGCCGCTTCCTCAAGCATCGACAATATCTCTGGTGGTTTCATATTTAAAACCTTGGTGATGCGCCCTTGCATTATGAGAAAATGTGGATTATTAACATTCAGCTGCACTGAATGAAAAAGGTTTTGAACTTGACTAGGCTGGGCAAGTTTCCCATTGATCAGATATTTGTTCCTTCCTCCAACCACAATCTGGCATTGTCCCCCAAACACATCCATGGCGCACAAATGAGAAGTCAGTGAATTGCTAGCTAAATATGTAATTACAAATCAAAGACCTACTATCATGTTCGAACTGTGATTCTAAAACAGATACTTTTATATCACTGTGCCAAAGATATTGGTCGTTACACTGCCTAGACAAGCCAAACTAACACATTTTACAGCATTATAAGCAGCGAAACAAAAATCAACAAACAAAATCAGGGGGGAGGCTTAAAAAGAAAGAAAGAAACCTGTCTTGTCACTGTAATCTCTGGATGGTCTTCATACCCAAGAGGGCTCCGACTCCTATCCGCATTATCAAACACAATCGACACCGTAGCTTTTGTAATTCCTGCCTGTCCTTGCTTATAAACGAGCTCCTGCAGGTTAGAAGCCCGAACCTGCTGCAAATTCGTGATCCCAAGTACAAAGCAAATCGAATCAAGTATGTTCGACTTGCCGGAACCGTTCAACCCCGTGATGGCATTGAAGTAGGGATCGAAACCTGGAACAACAGTTCTGGTAGCATACGATTTGAAGCCTTCCAAGCAAATTTCCTTGATGTACATCTCTTGACCCGCGAGTTGTAGCAGGAAAGAAAAATAAAAATAAGACTTGCAGAAAAATGGTGAAAATTTTAAACAAAAGGGCAAGAGTAAAGATTATGAACTCTGCGCTTGGAGGTACCTCAATGAATATATGGAAGAAGCGAAAGGATTTCGGAGATCGAAACTCTAAATCGAACGGGCGCTTAGCCTTTGCGGGTTGCAGTGCAGCGAGTGAAGAAGAGGATGAATTTTCAATTTTTTGAATTTGACGCAGCTGGCGTTCCGAGATGAGCCAGAAATGGGAAAGAAAACAAAAAAGGCGGGAAAATTTTGGGGGCCGCAATACGAAGTCGTTTAATGTGGACGACCCCCGCGTTCCATGGGGAGGTCAAACACAAATTCAAAGTATACTGCATAGGGGACGGGTCTTACGTACCATACCCCTATCTTATTACTGAGTACTTTTAATGCTCGTTTGAATGAACTATTGAAAAAGCTGTTTATTTAAAAAACAGTTTATGGATAAATAAAGTAAGATAAAAGCTAAATTGGATAAGTTGAATTATGTTTGGATTGGAGTTCAGAAAAACCCGTTTGCAAAAGTGATATTGGTGAAAAGTTGTTTGGATTATGATTGAGTAAAAGTAAGTTTGGTTGTAAAATGACCAAAATATATATGAGTTTTAATAAATAATGAAAAATGAAAAAAAATAATTTAGCAAGCCAAAGATTTTTTCTTTAGGCTGAGAATGCGGGTTGTTTTCGTGCCTTGGGGGCAAAATATTAAAAATAAAAAAAGCAAAACAGGGTAAAACAAAAAAAGAAAATAGCAAACAAAAACCCATTAATATATAAAATTATGATCAATATTTTCAACTTGAAAAATAACAAATAAAAATTTAATCTTATATTGCTAAATTGAATTTGTCATTTCCTATAGTTTGAGAAGTATTTCAGATATTTAATCAAAATTTTATATTTATAATATAAAATCAGGTCTTTATTTATTATTTTTTAAATTAAGAATTCTAAATTATAATTTTTTATATTAGGGGTTTTTATTTTCTATTTTTTCAAACGAAAAGTTAAGTACGATGTTTTCTTAATTATTAGCATTATTCAAACGTCGTGGAGCCAGGCCATATGGATTACGGATGCTCTCGGGAAACCAGGCGCCCTAGATCCTCACCTTCGCAAAAAGCTTCACCAGCCAAACAAAAAATGACAGAGGCCCCAGTGTGAAAATGACCCCCCATTCAACGATCAAAAAAATAAGCTCCTACAGTAAGGAAATAAGCCACAAAATTTAACTTAAGACAGACCACACGTTTTGGAGCTTAAAGTGTATAAGTTGCTTTTTTTTTTTTTAAGCCCAGCCAAACACAACCTCTCAGCCAATCGGGCTTATAAGTAAAAAAAGCAGCTTTTAAGCCCAAATTAAGCCTTGCCAAACAGACCCTTATTCTATTAACTAGCGTACCAAATTTTTTTTTTTAAAAAAAAAAGTGGTTGAATCAGTAATCTTATGTCAAAAAATTAAATCTATTCATTTAGAAATGTTAATTATATTCTGCTGGCAAAAAAAAATGTTAATTATATTCTCATGAATGATAGTGAAATTTTTTTTTCATATTTTAAATTGGAACAATTTGAAGAAACTATAATTAGTATTTCACTGTATAACTTAGGGAGAATGACAAGTACAAATAGTAAAAAATGCAAAATCTCAAATCATACATTTTAATAGGTTTTGACAATAATTAACTTTCAAATAACCACATTTTTATGAAAATACTTTATTTAGAATTTTTTAACTTTCATGGTTGTTTTGGGGTCATTTTTCCTATAACTTATTGTTTTTTCTGTAATTTGTCGTATAATAAAAAGCGGAGAGAATATATACAATAACTACAATAGTAAATGGTAAATGAAATGGGTTATAAATTTTATATTATATGGTGTAATGATATTTTAATTTTAATTTTGTTCTCAAATCATGTTGAATTGGCGAACATGATCCAAACTTGCGTGTTTTCTTAGTGTCTGCTGCTTGGACCTGTTTCCCCCATTTCTAAATACAAGGGCCATACTAAAACCGTATGGTAAAGAAAATTAATTGTACTCTTCCAATTCTAAGCAAAAGATACATTTTATAGTATAAATTATATTACAAATGAATTTTTTATATTTATTTATTTTTTTCTCAAAATAATTCTCATGGTGATTGCACGTGTTAAATAGTTTCCATTCTAATAGAAATAATTAATAAAAGTATTTTAGCGAAAACAATACATATTTATTACAAATAATTAATTTAATTAATTTTTTTTATATTCACAAATAGGTTATTTAACTCTTATATTAAAAACCGGAAGTTGTATCATTTAAAAGATTATTACAACAGACATACAACGTTAATAACTAAAGCTTAGGGAATACTCCTCCGGTCTTTAATATAAGGCCTATTTAACTAATTTGATTAGATTAAGGAAGTTGAATAAGTTAGTTAATTATAAGAAACATGAAATATTTTTCCTAAAATACCATAATTATCTTTCTTAATATCTTCTCTCTTTTACTTAATTATGGTTGAGAGAGATCCATAGAGATAATTTTGGAAAAATTGATAAATATAAAAAATAGGTCTTATATTTAGAACTAAAATCAATTCAACAATTAGATCCATATATCTAGAGTGGAGTAGAAGACTTGAGAGACTCACATTTTTCTTCTATCTCCATTTTAATTAATAATGAAGTTATTGACAGTGATTCAATCAGGGAAGTTCAACTCTTCAAGGAAGGAATTGGCAGTTGATTGTATGCTCAATTTTTTCAACTGATAAGATTTCTATGAAGCGTCCAGAAATTTGAACAACTTTTCAGGGTTTGACGAAAATCAAAATTGACGCAGATTCATGAGTCTATGCAAATCAGTGGGCAACTTTTCCAAATCATAACATTTCCACAGCTTTCTTCAGCCTTATATTTGTTGTTCCTAAGAAATTCTTGCAAGCAATAGAGAATTTATTCCCATTACATAGAAGTCATTTAGCTGTGGTTTTTGGGAGCACATTTCATGCTCATCACAATGATGAGAATGGATTGCTCATCTTAATTTGGACCATCCAGATTGATTTTGGATGGTCTGGATTTAATTTAAAATTTTTATACATTTAATTAATGTTTATTTTAATAGATACATAATCTTATAACTAATGCTTTCTTAAAAAATAAATTTATCATGAAAAAAATTACATATTAAAAATTTTAAATCTCAATACCAAAGAAAAAAGAATAAATCAGTGATTAACACAAATTACATAGCATTACTGAATACTAAGTACACTTGTATGACTTCTTCTCTAACATAGCTTCTGTCTCTTGCATGAAGGCACTTGCTCGATGGTTTCTCCTTCACTAAGCTCCTCAGGAGGACAAAACTTCAAACAATATGCAAATTTAGAGCAACAAGCTAAATTTATAACTTCTAAAGACGGTAAAGAGAATAATTGATTTGGAATACTAAAAAGATTAACACAATTTCTCAAATTTAAGAATTTGAGAGTTGAAAGATAACCGATAGACACATCAAGCTTTGATAATTTAACGCATCCTTCAAGATCTAACCTCTCAAGCTTTGGAAAATTATTTCCGAATTTTGGCATCTCAGTTAAATCTTTGGAGCCACTAAGATTCAAGTTTCTCAACCAGGGGAATCGCTGATGTGGCAAAAACTGAAAATGATGCAAGAAGGAGGGTTAAAGTTTTTCATAGAAAACTTTACACACAAACACTAGCCCATAAATATTAGGTACCTTTTTTGCATTATTCCATATGCATGTGATGCAGCTATCAGTCAAAATCAATTCCCTTAGGACACATGGATTAAATATTGATGGCAATGATGTGAAAGGATATTGGTGCCATGAAATATATCGGAGCCTGCTTGTAAGACTGTGTAGGACTCCAGAAAATTTCACGTTACGAAATATGAGTAGTCTGAGATTGGGCATGTATGATAAACCTTCAACTCTCAATGTACTCCCATGTGAATTTTCTAACTCCAAGACTATTGCTTCAACTTCATAGATAGCCTGATGATAAATTGCATAAAAATGATGCAAAATCAGATTACTTCCAATTCTAGTACACCATATATTAATGTTTCAACCAAACAAAAAAATGTTATAACAACTTACTCTGCCACTTTGCATAACATCATAAATATCATCAAAATCCCATAATCTGCTCCACCTTTCTGGCTTACCAGGGAATCTATGCCGAACAATTTCTCGTCCCATTTCTTGCACTAAACCATGCATGTGTACCTTTTGATCTATAATGGTCATGAGTGACTTGTCGATGAAAATTTGCATATAGTACTTCCCTCGATGGCCATAACTATATAAAACTGGCTGAGTACTGTCCAAAATTCCTTCCACAAATTTAATCTCTTTCCCAGTGAAAAAGCATGCAATGTCTAGAAACATTTGCTTGGCGTCAAAATTCAGATCATCAAAACTTTCTATGAGGACATTCATGATAATACGGAAAGCAGCCTTTTTGATAGCAACCAAAGCAGATCTCCATTCTGAGACTCTTGTATTATATAACAACGAGCCCATTACCACAATTGCTAATGGAAGGCCATTAGCATATTGGAGCACACTATTTATTTGCTCCTCATAACCTCTTATTGGAAAATCACATTTGAAAGCGTTTCTACAAAATAATAGAAGAGCTTCGTTCTTGGTCAGTAGTTTAACCCTATAAATATAACACTTCATAAACATTCCAAGCACTCCTTCATCTCTAGTTGTTATGATGATTCTACTCCCTCCAACTAACTGGTTTTCTCTTACCGAAGTAACCAATCCTAAAACAATATCAATATTAACACAATCGAGAACTATGAGAGTTCTCTTGGGATTTCTTAGCATTAATGCCTTATCGAACTCAAAGGCATTGAGTACCAAATAAGAAGCATCAAAATGATGAGAGATCCTGTCATGAAGAACTCTCGCAAGAGTTGACTTCCCTACTCCACCCATACCACAGATGCCCACAACTCTAGTGTCATCTTTTGAACCCAAATCCAGAAGTTCGTCTACTTCTCTCACTCGAGATTGCATCCCTACTAGATCTACATCAGCATAAAATAATTCACGCATTTTTCTCTTGACCTCCCTGATGATGTCATCAATAACTTGCGGCTCTGGCCTGCATAAAGGAAAAACAAAATTAAAACACCAATTGATAAACAGTTGCTTCAGGAAGATCTCAGTATAATTTGCTTATTGAGACTCCCAGATTTTGGAAAAACTAATGACTTACTCTAGCGGTACACACCAACCAGAGAGATCGGCCACTTGTTTCATTGCTGACCTCCAATTGTGTAGCTTGCGCAAATTTGCTGTGAACCTTTGTTCATGTCCAGCAAAAGCTGTTTCAAAAGAGTTGCTCTGGTTTTGAACCTCAGATGGATGGACATCATAGAAAATTGGGAAAGCAGTATATCGGGTTTCATGAATGCGTGCGGCGATCTCAGAGAGCTCCTCAAGGCACCATATAGAAGAAGCATAGTTTTTGGAGAAGACAACAATTGAAATGTTGGACTGTCGAATTGGTTTAAGAGAGTGAGGTGGGAGAATGATGGAGTCACCTGGGTCAAGCTTCTTGTCATCCCAGAAGGTGTTTAAATCGTCACTTTCAAGAGCAGCCCAAAGCCTATCTGTGAATCGGCAAGTTTCATGATCTCCTTTGAAACTTAGATAAACATGGATTGGCCTTGATGATGATGATCCACCGATGCAACTCTCCTCTGTCACTCTCATGATCTGTCGCGCCTTTCTCAACAGTAAAGCTGGATAGAGTAGAATCACAATTCTTCACTTTGCTTATAAAGCTCAGCGAATGGAAAAGAGCAATAAAATAAGAACCCTTAAAGGAAATGAAGAAGAGAAGGTTGTTAAGGAGAAAATTCTGGGACCCTGCATCGAAACAGAGACGAAGAATCGATTCCAGTCGCTATGCAAGTGCTCGCACCTTTGACAAGAATTACAACTAAAAATTAAAAATTCTGTTTATTTCTTCTTCTTTTGACTATTAGGTACGCTACTTTAACAAAGTTGTTGAATTGCCAAGCAGGCAAAAATTTGACACATAAGACCCAGCGAAGCATGCCCCTTTCGTAATTAGTGCTTGACATCTTTTCTTTTATTTATTCATTTATTATTTTTGTAGAATACGTGTTCAGTTTTTTTTTTTCCCAGCTGTTTAGCTATTTTTTTAACATAAAAGTATACTCCTAGTAGAACAATCTTAGTCAACACAATGTTGAGTACTAAATATGGATACTTTTCCGAGTGATAATTTGAACTTGGATTCTTTATGTTATAAAAGATTAGCTCTTTTTGCTATACTTAACTCTTCTTAGTTTGTTTAGAAAACATTATGTGAGATCAAATATGCAACCTGTCATTTACAGATGAATTTTTATATTACTAGGTTACAATGTTATTGGCAGGATTCAAACATAAAAGCACCAATTTCATCACGTAGTCACCGATTTGCTTTCCTAAGAGCCTGTTTTGTAGAAACAACTGGTTGGAATAAAAAGGAATGGAAAATAATGAAAAAGAATGAAATGAAAAATTTACGGTTGAGGGTCTATTATGTAAGAATTGGAATAGAAAAAGGGTTTATGAAAAATTTTGTATTTGGTTGGATCAAAATAAATTGGAAATTAAGCTATTTTACTATATTACCGTTAATAAAAGAATATAATATTATTAAAAAAATACTTTTTAACCTTACAAAATAACAAGACTATTAAAAAATTCAATAATTCAAAAAAAAAGGAACAAAAAATTTTAATAAAGAAATATAAATATTCAATATAAATATAAATGGATGGGAAGCATGCTCATAAAAAAAGCCAAGGATATTTCCTTATTTTGAGGACACACTTGTCTTTCAACTTTCCTTATAGTGCCGGCCACCAAAATGAATGGGAAGCATGCGTCCCACGTGCCCATTTTCATCTCAACTGCAGTGTCCCTCTCCACCCTCTCAACCATTAGCTCAAACAAGAAAAATGGATAAGAAGAATTAGAGCATGAGCCAATATTATTGAGAGGCAAACTTGTCCTTGAAATTTTTTAATTGCGTAAGAAGCATGCTTCCCCTGCTTCTCATGTACTACCTTCTATCTTAATTATAAAAGCTAGTTGACTAATTTGAGAAAATTAAGAAAATAAGTTAAGTTAGTTATTTGTAATGAATATGTGTTTTCTTTCTTAAAATGTTCTTACTAATTAAATGTATTAACTAAAACTATCACTATTAGAAAGACTTTTTTAAGAAAAATACTTAAATATGAGAGACAAAATAGATTGGGATTTTATTTAAGACCAAAATAAAATTCAAACGAAATTTTATATTAAAGACCGGAGGTAGTATAAAAGAAAATTCACTATCCCTAGAAATTGGGTTCCTGGAAAATTTGCCTACTAAACGTGCGCTACCGACTGAAAATCAGGATTTTCTTTTTCTTTCATCAGATTCTTGCCATACCAAACGGACTCTAATTGACCAACAATTACTTGAAATTGTTTATAATTTGCCTATTGAGAATTTGAGAATTGAAAATTTTGATCAAGAAAAAACTAATTACTGTCTAAAGTGTATATATATATATATATATATTTTCACTGAGAATATAATAATGCTTCCCAAATGATTTAAGATCCCCTTCATCTCTAGTTACTATGAGGATTCTAGTCCCTCCGCCTAATCTCTTAGAATTTATAAACCAGATCATCCGTTTTAGATATAAGCGAAGATGAATGCCATCAATAACCACAAGAATATTATTTTTGAGATATTCTTGGCTTGCGACCTTATGAAATTCAGATGCATTAAGTATGAAACGAGAAGCATAAAAATGGTGGGAGATCCTATCATAGAGAACTCCAGCAAGAGTGGTCTTCCCTATCCCACCCATACCACAAATGCCCACAATTCGAATTTCATCCTTCATACCCAACTCTAGAACCTTTTCTACTTCTCTCACTCGAGATTGCATTCCTACTAAGTCTGCATCAACATACTGAGTTCACGAACCTTTTTCTTGACCTCTCTAACAACGTCATCAATAACTTGTGGGTATGGGCTGAAGTAAAACCAAAAATAGGTGCCCAGTTAATAACTTGTTCAACAATTGATAGACAAACAAGCAAGATAAATCTACTTACTTAGATGGTGCATGCCGGCTAGAGAGATTGACCACTTGATTTATTGCTGATCTCCAAATTTGTAGCTTGCGTAAATTTGCTGGGAACCTTTGTTCATGTTTAGCAAAAGCTTTTTCGAAATAGTTATTTTTTTTTTTAGAACCTCATATGGATTGACATCACAGAAAATTGGGAAAGCAGTATATCGTGGTTCATGAATGCGTGCAGCAATGTCAGAGAGCTCCTCAAGGCACCATATGTATGAAGCATAGTTTTTGGAGAACACAACAATGGAAATGTTGGATTGTCGAATTGGTTTAAGAAAATGACGAGGAAGAAAGATGGAATCACCTAGCTCGAGCTTTTTGTCATCCCAAAATTTGTTTAAATCGTCAGTTTCAAGAGCAGCCCAGAGCCTATCTGTGAACTTGCAAGTTTCATTATCTCCTCTGAAACTTATATAAACATGAATCGGCCTTGATGATGATCCATTAACGAGACTTTCCATGTGTCTATAACCTTTTAGCCTTGATCATCAGCTGCCTTTCTCACTGGAGTCGATGTTTCTCGCTGAGCTTTTGAACATCTCTTAATGGCTCTAGAGATGAAAGAGAACAATAAAATGAAAGCAAGGGAGGATTTTTAATGTGGAAATTTCTTGGAACTTGCCCTGAAAGAGATATGAACAGGGCTTTCTAATTTCTACGCAAGGGTATGGCTTTCGCACCCCACCTATCTCTCATTTATGGCAGTCAACTCCTTGAACCAAGTACATTCTCTTCCATACCGTACATTACTGCTTGCGCTTAAGTTTAATGAGATATTATAATTAATGATCTAGAACTATCCCAAGTGATTTTTCAATCAGAAGTTTAATTTCAATTTCCGCAGAATAAAAAATTGAAATTTCTACCCATAAATAATAAAAATCTCCAATTCTAGAAGCATCATATGAATCAAATTTGTTTCTAACTTGTAAGAGGATGAATCAAATTTCCTAAGGTGAGAGGTGGAAGTGATTTCCCTGTTTCGTTCTTCTTATCATCCCCACAGCTTGGCCTGGTTTCATTTAAGTTGCTTTTGTTTTTCCCGCAAAAGAAAAAGTGAGGGGTCAACAATGATATGATTTTTATTTTATTGCATAAAATATGTGTAAAGCAAACTAAGCAAGGATAATGCAAGTGGATGGCCAAAAATAATCACTTTCGGGTAGGAAGAATATTGACATTGGCCAATGGGCGAATCGGAAGGAAACATAGCAAAGCAGAGTGTGGTGGCTTGGAGCAAAAAGCGAGTATTAGGAAGACCAATCTCTGGAATATAAGGAAAATTCAAATAATTAATGCAGATAAGAGCAGCATCAGGTTGATGAGGTAGTAATAGTACAAATTGGATTTTACGGCTTGAGAATATTACTTGAATAATGTTACTTGAATATACAAAGGGATTTGGTTCAATAAACAAGCGAAACAGGGACAAACACAAACAGAGAGTTTAGAAGGAAAGAGATAGAAGCAGAGGAAGAGAAAGTGAGGTATGAGAAACAAAGATGATTGGAAAATGATATGGCATTCCCGAGCACCAAAGCACTTAAATAGATTTTTGTCTATATAATTTCTGTCTCCTACAAAAAAATGGTTGCTGATGAGTAGATTCATTTTTATCAAGCTCTTCAGAAGGGGAAAAATTCAAACAATGATCGAGTTTTGAGAAGCGAGTCAGTTTTAGAATCTCCAAGTTGCTTAGACAAAACAAGGTTTCAAGAATACTGACAAGATTACTACAGCTTTTCAAATTTAAGGGTTCGAGCTTTGATACTTCAGCAGTAGATGGATGAAGCTGCAATAATGCAGAAACTAAACTTTCAAGATTTGGAACCTCAACAGCATCTGGCATTGTAACCGAATTTTCAGAGCCAGAAAGATTCAATACTTGCAAGTTAGGGAGCACCTGAAAATGAAATAGCTAGTGTGGGTGAGCAGAGACAATTAGCCATAATTGTTCACGAAACAAGTTATATCTAAAGATATTTCCTTGCTCATGTAATCTAATTCATGAAAACTTTTCTTGAGAACTTCCATTATTTGACGATTAGGAATTCTCTTTAGTTGAGCCAGGGCATTTCTTCTCCACTGCCGGACACTTTTTTTAACAAAAGGATACGCATTATTTGAGATTTCAAACACTTCCACTCGTTAAAAAATAACTTGAAAAAAAAAATAGTAACAAGATGTAGCATTTTATTGTTCAAAACACTTCCTTTCATAGTTGTATCACTTTAGGTTATTAGTGCCGCCTATTCATTTTTAGTAGTGATTCTCTAACAAAAACTACCAAATATGTATTACTAGAGTTATTTTTTTCCCCTTTAGTGCTCTCTCTGCCTTTGTGCATAGGCAGCTAGGAAGATGCTTATCTTAACATCTTCAGCAATAAATTAATCAAAAAGTTCATATTAGCATGTTTGGTAATTGGTCCTTGTCATCAAAACGTGATTCTGGTAGAGATAAATCTTTTCTCTTTTGTTGCTTTTCCCAAAACAATGTATAAGTTGATTGCAAATGTTCTAATAGATTATTAATATAGAAACAAATATGAAAGGAGGTAAGAAACTAAGAGAGAGAAGAGAGGCATGATAAAACAAAAGAGATCAATAGATGATACTGGGTGCAAAGAAACTATCAAGTAGATTTTTGTCTACATATATAGCTTCTGTCTCTTCCTAGGGAATCATTGCTGAATGGTTTCTTCTTCCAATTTTCCGCCAATCTCCTCAAAAGGAGTAAAGGACTAACAATAAGCAACTTGGGAGCAACAAGCCATATTTCGAGTTTCTAAGAAGGGCAGAGAAAATAACAGATTGGGCCGTACTGAAAAGATTAGTACAATTTCTCAAATTTAGGTATTTGAGCCCAGACAGAGAAGCAACAGATGACTGAAGCTGTGATAATTTAGTATATCCTTCGAGATTAGCCTCTCAAGACCTGGAAATGCTCTAAAACCTGGTATCTTAGTTAAATCTTTGGAGCCACTAAGATTCAAGTTTCTCAAGCGAGGGAATTCCTGTAGATAAAGACAATTAGCTATACAATATTTGTAACTTAGAAGGGCACGCATGGCGCATTAATTAACATTACCTTTTCTTTTCTCCTATGTTTGATATTCCTTGATGTCAGTTCAGTGGATAGATATAACTGAAAATGTTGTAAAGGAGGAATTACTAAAGCAGGATGGCAAGAAATTCGAAGGGTCCAGCCGGGGAAGAAGTTCAAGATGATTGTCAGAAGAAGAGGAGGTTGCATTTGGTTTTCTTGATGGTGGGAGGCAGCGACAGAGATGAGGACAATGAGAGAAGTGACGGTGGGAGGCGGAGATGAAGACAAAGGACGGAGGGTTGTTTTACCTGTATCCCATAAACAGTAAAAATAAATGCCCAAATGCTACATGGTGAAAATTATTATTCAAGATGCTACGCCAAAACTCGTTCACCAAAAGAATAACTTCAAATTTATACTCATTCACTATAAGAGCAAGTTTGGTGATTGTCACATTAAAAGAGTGGAGTTGTATAGAAAATAGCCAGTAACTGACTATTTGAGTATTTATCATATTTTATATTTCAATATAATTGAAGGAAAACGATCCATATACTCTTCGGGTCTTTGTAATTATAGTTGTGATATAATCAAATGCAATTGTTACTATCACAGCTCATGTAATATGTTATGATGATATTATTCAGTGCTGTCCAACAGGAAAATTAGGTGAGGGTGGACTTAATAAAATTAGGAGACTTAATATCTGATGAGATTTTTTTATTAAATATTTTATACCACAATATTTATTGATGTCGTATCATTATATATCTCCTTATCAATTGGAGACATATTATGTAAAACGTTGGATATAGAATTCATAAAATAACTGAGTTATTTATCTTACAATTTTTTATATCAAGTTTAATAGTGATGAAAGCTACTATGCAACTTCTTGGTTGAAAAAGACATGTAAAATTGTGTTTGTGTGCATAAGGAACAATGAAGGACTAACCACTGTAAATTACCAATTATGATAAAATACTCTAACTGGTTTAGTTACTCGGTGCTTTTGTGTTAGTCCTTCTGATTTTATCATAATACTGAACAGTGTGAAGGCATGGTCATCATTACGGGTCATACTCTGCAAAGGGATGTGTATTTTCAGGTGAGTTACCATTGACCATTATGTTAGCAATTAGAGATGACGATCTGAATCCACTGAATAAACGATGGATTACACTAATATACACAGAGATACACGTATATGAAATGAAGCAAATTGAAGTACTAAATAATGGAATTTGATGAATCAACAATTCAACATATATATGGTAAGTAGGCAGAGAAAGTCGGCTTAGTTACTTAGTTACAACTTGGTGTACTCAAAATTTAATGGCATATCATCCACACTGACTATATGAATATTGATTTGGGTAACTTAATTTTAAGGTTGTTGCTCTTCCCATGCTCTGTTCCTCATTATCTGTACAAGTTTTAATGTAGCAGGATAGTGGAGGAGACTTGTGTGATCTGCAAATGTGCTTACGCAATCTTATGGTCAGTGTTGCCTTACTGTCTGGAAGATTTTTGCTTACTGTATTGTGTTACCAATGAGCAAAGGCAATAAAAAACTTTGTTGTAGGCATAATTAGTAGGATAAAGCTTGTATGAGTAGGTAATGCTTGAGTACATGAGCTGGATTTCAATATCTATGACTTCAAAGTTGTAGTCAGGAAGTATGCAAGTGATAATTCAACTTCTAAGTTCCCGCAATTTCTGAAACCCAGAGTACTATATATAGATATCAAGAGTTGGGTGTTTTCAACCTGCAAATTTTTAAAAAACTATATACAGAGGCAACAACTAAAAAAACTTCGAAATATCAATTCAATGAAAGCAGAATCTTATTATTATTATTTTTAATTTGAGCTTCATTCATTGTTCATTATAGCTGTGTGGTAGATATAGATTTAGCTGTTAAATTTTACTATTTCTAGAGTTGACCTGCACAATAAGCTTTGGTTGGACTGTATTATTGTGATATCAGTGAAGGTAGCCGGACTGTATAATGAAAAATCCCTTCTAGAGTTAATTTAAATCTACTGGAGTTGACTACATACTGTTTCTCAACCATGTTAGTATCATGATGGATGGAAAAAACTACCATGTTTCACTTTAGCAGATTAGCGAAATGAATAGTACCGTATTATGTTTCTCTGTCATTTTCAACCCAAAGCATCATATGAGAATTCACACATGCTTCTATTTTGGGATGGATGAAATTTTTATTCACGAGACCTATCCACAACGTATTAGATTTTTATTCATGAGCGTTTAGGGTTTAATAAGTGATGTATCAACAAGCATAATAGATAATGCTTCCTATGTGTCGCACCTGGAGCACTAGCTAGTTTAAATAGAGTAAAAAAAATCAAATTAATTAATTTTAAAAAAATGTAATATGATCTTCCTAAGATACTCAAATATAATATTACATTATATATTAATTTATAAGTTAAATAAATTAGTTTGAAAAAAATAATAAATATGAAAGAGAAAATTTATTGAATTCTAATATTTATAATCAAATTCAATCTCAAGACTAATTCTTATATTAGGAGTCAGAGGAATATATTTTTATTCTCTAACTACTACTGTGGTAAAATATAAAAGGCAATTAATTTCAATCAGTAATAACAGAAAAATCAATAAAACCTGAGTATGAACGTGATCCAAACTCTAAGAATCTAGTTTTGTTCGGAGTCTTGGGTGTAAGCAAGATGCTGGTGCCTGCGAGCAAGAAATTTCTTTCAACACCCTTTTTTAATAAAATAATCATTCAATTATGTACATAAAAAATGATGGAAATTATACAAGTGGGGCTAATTTAATATGTATGAGCTAGGAATGCTTAAGTTGGACCTGTCTTAGTCCTGATCATAATAAGACGAGATGGGACATGGGAGTGGGGCGTCTACTTTTTTTTTTTTTTTTTCACCCCACTCTTAACAAATTCCACCCACGGCTTTGGCTCGCCTTATCTTACCTCTTAAACTCATTGACATTTTTCTTAAAGAAAACGAAATAAATCAAGAATATGTGGATTCCTTTCATCATTGAAGAAATGCTCAAGATACAAGACAATGTCGAGCGGTCAAAGTTTGCGTGGTAGGTGAGGAAGGTAGCAAGTTAAGGGGAGTTTGGCACTGCTCAGAACTAGAAGCACTTAAAAAAAAAAATATTTTTACACAAGTAAAAATAAAAAAAAATTATATATTTATTTTTTTAATTCTGTCTAAAAAGCTAATTCAAATGGCTCTTAAGTGCGGTTTGAATCTAAGGAGTGAGAGATGTCCTTCACTTTAAGCACGTTTTAGGTTGTTAGCTAAAGGCAACCTACCTGACTGAATTTTGAACCAAGAGGAAGTGAAAGAAAATAATAAGAGAAGATTGGAACAAAGATAAGTGAAAAAGAGGAGAGAATGAGAAAATTATGCATGTAATGTACAACCTCGCATGATTTGAGCATATCAACTGGAAAACTTTATTTATTTATTTTATCTTTTCACACGCCAAGCCTTGCGCTTTTCTCACAACAAGGAAAGTAACTTCCCCCGAGCAAAGCCGATTAAATTCTACTTTCATAGCATTTGTGTCTTTCAAGTGAAAAAGATAATACCCGTTTTTAAATATAGGATTTATTTTATAATGTAATATATTCTTCTGGTTTCAAAATATAAAATTCATTTTATAATATAAATTACATTACAAAATAGGTTTTATATTTAATTCTGAAAAATACAAAACCAACCAAGCAGCTTATATGAACTTCTTCAAAATTCAAGAAGTTGTAATTGGACCAATTGATACTTGCGTGTTTTCTTCGATTTTCTTTTTTTGAAGCGTCGTTGGATCCATCTAAATAGTCGTCCTCGCAGCATGATTTTTTTAAATTAATTTTAAAAAAATGTAATATGATCTTCCTAAGATACTCAAGTATAATATTAAATTATATATTTATTTATAAGTTAAGTAAATTACTCCTCCGGTCCTTAATATAAAACCTATTTAACTAATTTGGTTAGATTAAAAAAGTTAGGTAAGTTAGTTAATTATTAGAAATATGATATGTTTTTTCGAAAACACCATAATAATTTTCCTCAATATCCTCTCTCTCTTTTATTTAATTATGGTTGAAGGAGATCTATAAGGGTAATTTAAAAAAATTAATAAATATGAGAAATAGATCTTATATTTAGGACCAAAATTAATTCAACAATTAGATCCTATATTAAGGACTAGAGGAATAGTTTAGAAAAATAATAAATATGAAAAAGAAAGTTTATCAAAATCTGATATTTAGAATCAAATTCAATCCCAAGACTAATTCTTATATTAGAAGTCAGAGGAGAATATTTTTAATTCTCCACCTACTACTATGGAAAAATATAAAAGGCAGTTGATTTCAATTGGTAATAAGAGAAAAATCAATATAACCTGAATACGAACACGATCCAAACTCTAAGAATTTAGTTTTGTTCAGGCTCTTGGGTGTAAGCATGATGCTCGTGTCTGCGCGCAAGAAATTTCTTTCAACAACCTTTTTTAATAAAATAATCAATCAATTATATACATAAAAAATGATGAAAATTATACAAGTAGCTGGCGATGATTTAATTGATATGGAAAAACACCCAAACGAGACAAAACTTATGATTGAGACGAGATAGGGTGCAGGATTGGGATGTCCTATCCCGATCTTATTAGTCCTTTTTTTTTTTTTCCACCCCACTCATAACAAATTCCACCCATGGCTTTGGGTTTGGCTCACCTTATCTTATCTCTCAAGCTCATGGTTTGCTAGTTAGAGAGTAGATTCTCTTGGTTTTGTTAATTATGGCTTCAATTCAGTATTCGTTATCAAGATTCTCCTGGTTTTCTTAATCGATGCTTGGTGCCGCTCCCTGCTCTCCATTCTCGGGCTTACGTCGTCGTCCCCAACACTGTCGTCGCCAGACCCATTGCCTCAGCAACTCAGTTATGTTCCCTCTGACCTCCATCGTCCTGTCTCATTTCCTCTCCCCTCTCCATCGCACTGTGGTTATTTTTTTAGAGAAAAATATGGTGGGGGGAGAAACTGTTTTGAGGTTTTAATCATATCCATAAAATAGAACATTTGAAGAACCCTTGTGTTCTTGATATGCTGCTTTTGCTTATCATTGATTGAAAGGGAAAAGTTTTCATGACTTTAAAGCTGGCTCTTCTAAAAAGATGGGAGTGTAAGAGTAGCGTAAGAATGGAGACGTTTTAATCAAAAGTAATTTTATGCACAATAATTATTTGAGTAGGATTTTTTTCCTGGTATTCCACCATAATTGAAGCTTGCTTTCATAGTTTTTTTCCACTGGAAAAAAAAAAAAATTCTTGACGGGACCCATCCCATTCAGGACTGAGGCTTGGGATAGAAAATCCTGTTTATCAGGACCCATTCCTATCCCGTAAATAGTCCTAACATTAATAATTTTAGTGTCTCTTATTGTAATTATGCTATTTAATTTGTATCATATATCAGTTCATTGTTTTCAAGAGATTCTTGCAAAATAATAATGAGAATTTATTTTCGTTCCATGCAAGTCATTGGATTGTGTTTTTGCTCATCAATATAGCATAGATGGAAGAATAAATCAGTAAGTAATAAATGATACAGCATTACTGAATACAAAGCACACTTATATAGATTTTTGTCTACATAGCTTCTGTCTCCTGTGGGAAAATGATTGTTCAATGGCTTCTCTTTCATCACGCTCCTCAAAAGGACAAAATTTCAAACAATATGCAAATTTGGAACAACCAGCTAAATTTAAAACTTTTAAAGAGGGTAGAGAAAATAAGTGATTTGGAATACTAACTAGATTAATACAATTTCTCAAATTTAAGAATTTGAGAATTGAAAGATAAGCAATAGATACATCAAGCCGTGATAATTGCGTGCATCCTTCAAGGTCTAATCGCTTAAGATTTGGAAATCTTTTGAAATCAGGCAACTTGACCAGATTTTTGGAGCCACTAAGATTCATATTTCTCAAAGGGAAGGCCTGTGGATGACAAAAAAGAGTAGCAGAAAAATTAACTAAACAGTATCCATAATCATGATTTTGGTTGTACAATTCACCTACATGTATTGTTCCACACACATAATGACATACCATATCTCCTTCCCGTCTATTAGTGATGCAGCTCTCATCTGCTTCTCGGTCTTTTTCCCTTCTCGAATTTAAGAATTGAGTTCGGGCTTCAAAATATACGCAATAGGTGGGTTATGATGTGACTTTGATTCCATAATTCAATTTTGAGTTCGACACGCGCACACACAATAGCATTAGCATACCTGCTTCCCGAATATCCGTGTGGTGCCAAACAGCTACTTTTGGTTTTACTGCCCTTGTATTTATGATGGAGCTATCTGGTGCCTTTTCTCCTTCCCATATGTTTGTGATGGAGCTATCAGGCAAAATCAATTCAATGAGATTATGTGGCACAAAACTTGACGGTAAACAAGGGAAAGGATACTGGTGCCATGAAACATATCGAAGCTCATTTGAAAGATGCTTGAGGGATCCACAAAACTTAACGTTACGAAATATGAGTAGTTTAAGATTGCCCATATTTGATAAAGCTTGGACCCTTAATGCCCTTTGCTGTGAATCTTCTAAATCCAGGACTATTGCTTGAACTACTCGGGAAGCCTGGAAATAAACATAGAATCACACACACGACAATGATGAAAAGTAAAATAGCTTCAACTTTCGGACATATGTTTCGACGGAGAAAAAAAAAAAAAAGAGCAGAAAAATGTTAGTAAGACTTACTGTGTCATTTTGCATAACACGAAAAATATCATTGAAATCCCACAATCTACTCCACCTTTCTGGCATGGAAGGGAAATTAAGCTGAACAATTTCTCTTCCCATTTCTTGCAATAGACCATGCATTTCTATTTTTTGATCTATAATGGTTATGAGTGATGTTTCAATTAAAAGTTGTATTTCCTCCTTCACTGGGGTATTTTTCTTTTGATCAAGAAATCTATAACTATTTAAAATTCCTTTTACATGTTTAATCTTCTTCCCTCTGAAAAAACAAGCAATGTCGAGAAATATTTCCTTGCTGTCACGATCCAGTTCATCAAAACTCTTTTTGAGTACCTTCATGATCATCTGGGTAGCAACCTTTTTTATTTCAACCCAAGTACTTCCCCATTCTGAGACTCTTCTATTATACAATAATGAGCCCAATATCATAATTGCTAATGGAAGGCCATTAGCAAATTGGAGTACACTATTTATTTGCTGCTCATAATCTCTGGCATGAAGATCACATTTGAAAGCTTTTCTGCAAAATAATTTAAGAGCTTCATCCTTGGCCAATGGATTAACCCGATAGATATCATACTTCCCAAAGATTTTAAGGACTCTTTCATCTCTGGTTGTTATGATAATTCTACTTCCTCCACCTAACCAATTAGTTCTTATAGGCTTGATTAGGGGCATTAGATTTTGGTTCTTATCAATGCCATCGAGAATCATGAGAATAATCTTTCCACATGCTAGTCTCCTGGTATAAAATTCAGATAGGTTAGGTAGAAAATAACAAGCATCAAAGCGGTAAGAGATCCTATCATATAGAACTCGGGCAAGAGTTGTCTTCCCTATTCCGCCCATTCCACAAATGCCCAGAACTCGAACCCCATCATTTGAACCCAAGTCGAGAAGTTTTTCTACGTCATTCACCCGAGATTTCATCCCTACCAGATCTACGTCAACATAAACTAATTCACGCATTCTTCTCTTGACCTTTATTATGATATCATCAATAACTTGTGGCCCTAACCTGAACAGAGGAAAAATAAAAGTACTAGTTTAATTCCGGAATGATCAACAATTACTTGAAGATCTCTATATTGAGACTTGGAAGTTTTGATCAATTGAAAACCAAGAGAAAAATTACTTACTCATGCTGTACATGCCAACCAAAGAGATTGGCCACTCGTTTCATCGCTAAACTCCAGGTGTGTACTTTGCGTAAATTTGCTGCAAACCTCTGTTCATGATCAACGAAAGCTTGCTGGAAAGAATTACTCTGGTTTTGTACCTCAGATGGATCTACATCATAGAAGATTGGGAGAATAGTATATCGTGGTTCATGAATGCGCTCAGCAATCTTAGAAAGTTCCTCAAGGCACCATATAGAAGAGGCATAGTTTCTGGAGAAGACGACAATGGAAACACATGACTGTTGAATTGCTTTGAGAAAGTGATGCGGAATGCTAGAAAAACCTGTCTCGAGTTTCTTGCCATCCCAAAATGTATTTAAATCGTCAGTTTCTAGAGAAGCCCAAAGCCTATCTGTGAATTCGCAGCTTTCATCATCTCCTTTAAAACTTAGATACACATGAATCGGCCTTGATAATGAGTTGTTTATGAAACTCTCCATGGCTGTAACCTTTCGGTCTTGATGATTGGAAGACTTTCTTAATTGAAAAGCGGGAGGGTTGAATAGAGTCACAGTTCCTCACTGATACTGATGCTGAATGTTAATTGCTATTTAGTTTTCAATGTTGGAGCAAAGTGGAAAGCCCCAGCAAAATGATGCCTCTTATAGTGTTATTGACCTTTAAGTAATAAATTAAAAAATCAAATAAAGACACCTTTTTCTTAGCAGGTTCGTCCTCCAACGCGTGACTTTTTTGAATCGCGGGACCAATCATGAATATAGGTACTAGCTTCTTATTTTATTATTAAAATTAAAAAATAAAAAAAATCGCATGTGAATAGTCCATGTTTATTTCTGAGGCGATGTTTCTCGCTGAGCTTCTGAACATCTCTTGATGGCGCTGCAGACAAAAGAGAACAATAAAATGAAAGCAAGGGAGGATTTTTAACGTGGAAATTCCTTGGAACTTGCCCTGAAAGAGATATGACCGGGGCTTTCTAATTTCTACGCAAGTGTGTGGCATCTGCACCCCATCCACCTCTCGTTCATGGCTGTCAACTTCTTCTTGACCCAACTACATTCTCATCCACACCTTACACTACTGTTCGCACTTGAGTTTAATGGATATTATAATTAATGATCTGGAACCACCCCAAGTGATTTTTCAATCAGAAGTTTAATTTCAATGTCCGCAGAATAAAAAATTGAAATTTCTACCCACAAATAATAAAAATCTCCAATTTCAGAAGCACTGTATGAATCAAATTTATTCGTAACGTGTAAGAGGATGAATCAAATTTCGGAAGGTGAGGTGGAAGTGATTCTCCTGTTTCGTTCTTCTCATCATCCCCACATCTTGGCTTGGTTTCATTTAATTTTTTTTTTTCGGCCAAAAAAAGTGAGTGTCAACAATGATATGATATTTATTTTATTGCATAAAATATCTGTAAAGGAAATTAAGCAAGGATAATGCATGTGGATGGCCAAAAATAATCACTTTCGGGTAGGGAAAATATTGACATTGGCCAATGGGTGAATCGGAGGGAAACAGAGCAAAGCAGAGTGTTGTGGCTTGGAACAAAAAGCGAGTATTAGCAAGACCAACCTCTGCAATATAAGAAAAATTCAAACAATTAATGCAGATAAGAGCAGCATCAGGTTGATGAGGTAGTACAAAGTGGATTTTACGGCTTGAAAACATTACTTGAATAATGTTACCTGAATATACAAAGGGATTTGGGACAATAGACAAACGAAACAGGGACAAACACGAACAGAGAGTTTAGAAGGAAAGAGATGGAAGTAGAGGAAAAGAAAGTGAGGTATGAGAAACAAAGATGGTTGGAAAATGGTATGGCATTCCTGAAGACCAAAGCACTTAAATAGATTTTTCTCTACATAATTGCTGTCTCCTACAAGAAAATGGTTCCTGATGAGTAAGTTTATTTTTATCAAGCTCTTCAAAAGGGCGAAAATTCACAAACAATAAGCAAGTTTTGAACAGCAAACCATATTTAGAATCTCCAATTCGCTTAGACAAAACATATGCATTGGAAATGCTACCATTAACATTACTGCAACTTTTCAAATTTAGGAGTTTGAGCCTTGACATTTCAGCAATAGATGGATGAAGTTGCAGCTGAGTGTGATAAAGCTTCAATTCTCAATGTAATTCTTGCAACGTAAGACTAGCTCCAACTCTTTAAATAGTGCCCTAATAATAAATTCATTTACCTAAAAAAAACAAAGAAATGTTAGACCAAGAATAAAGGTGCAAATTTAAGAATAAATTTTTGGCAAATGTACACCCGGCACCATAATATTTTTTTCAGTAAAAAAATGTGTTTCATCCAATTCTAAATATAAATCCCATTTTATAATATAATTTATATTATAAAATGGATTTTATTCTTAGAAATAAAAGGACGTGTGTGTGTATAACGCCTGACGCCGCCTACAAAGCTGCTACTTGGGGGGGGGGGGCCGGGGGGAGTGGGACAAGGGAGAGTTGATCCCGATCAGAGCACATAGGGTGAGAGCCCATATTTTGTTGACATTTGACACTAGGTGGGACCCACAGCTAAAAAAAGCAGGGGTTAATTTGAAAACGCCGCTGGAAAAAAAACGACGTAAATTTGCAGCCTGCTTAAGCATCTATCTCTCCAGTTCTCTCCTCTTGGAGTCAGTATTTTTAATGTTAAGTGATGAAATTTTTTATTTATTCAATAAAAATATATTTATTTTTAATTTTGTTGTTTGAATTAGTTAGAATTTATTTGTATGTTATTTAAATATGTGTTTAACTGAGGCTGCATAGTTAATTTTGTTTTTTGGAAATTTTGGTTAGTTTGTAATTATTCATGGTAATTTGTTATTTGTTTATGGAAGTAGTAGTTATTATATTGTCTATTAATTAAAAATTAAATTATTAATGTAATTTTTTTGACCAGAAATTATTAATGTAATAGTTAATATTGATTGTTGATATAATGTTAATTATAATTTATTTGTTATATATTCATTTAATCGTTACTTGTTTATATGCTTGTTTTTATGTAGATATAATAGTTTATAATTCTTTATAAACGTTTATATAAACGATTTTTGATAAACATTTATATATTTATTCGTTAATTGTTTATATTTTTTTGACCATCAATTGTTTATATTTGTTCATATAATATTTTTTTTTGGTATAAATGTATTGTTTATACAATTTTTTATAAACGTCTAATTATTTTAATATTGATTTGCATAATTATTTAAGTTTTTAAAAATAATTGAATAATTATTGTTAGTTAGAGTTTATGTATTGATTTGTGTAGTTATGATGTCTATTAATAATTGCATAATTTATTTGTTATAATGATGGTCTTCATTATGGACGTACTTCCTTAGTTAAAAATAGGATTGAATGGAATCAAAGTTCCTTGGTCCTTACAAAGTGACCCTCTACTCGGCCAATCCAAACAAAGTCTAATTTGGAAAGTTGTGCAAATGAAAAAGACAAATAAAATAATCACCATAACAAGAAAAGGATTTTTGGGGTCGAAAGTTGCGGGAACTTTTATTTTTTATTTTTTGAAAAAATAAAACTGATGTTGATTTCTATTTATTTTTCAATCATCTTTAAATAAATTAACATATAAAAGCCCTTTTCTGAGCAAGTTCGTCCCTCTAACGCGTGTTTTTTTTTTTTTTAAGGCTTCCCTTCAACTGCGTCACCCCTAATTTAGTCCTATATATGTTAATATTTAACTTCTTGTTATTTTGTGTGTGAATTTTTTTTTATCATATCTGATTATCAACTTGTTCACATGATGCCACATTTCACACCATTATGTCATTCAGGGGGAATGACGTTTGATGAACTCTTAATATATCATTAATTATAACCATGGACTGCCAATTTTAAAAATTAAAAAAAAACGAAGACCAAGTACCAAATATCAAAATGTCATTTTCATTGGAATTAAAATTTTTCTAGGCTAACTTTTTTTATATTAAGGTTTAATTGATTTATCCATAACATACCAAATATACTTATTTTATTAAAATGTCATTCTCATTGTTGTTTTTTATTCCGATTTCTATAAAAATACTCCATGGCCTAAATGGTCTTTAATTTCTTTGTTTTCCAACACACTGGCGTCATTATCCAATAAGTAATAATTTTTGTTTTGAGGCGACACATGATACATTATACAAGGCCCTTCTCCATTCAGAGGCACTTTGATTACATAAGCACCAACCTAGCTAATAATATTACAATAATTTCTCATAATAGGACATTCAAATTTAAAAAATATGAAGGGATCGTTGAGATAGGAAGAGAGAGAAGAATAAGAGAGCGGAGAGATATGGAAAACAAAAAGGATTAATAAATTAAATGATGCAACAATCATGAGTAACTAATTCTCAACAAATAGTACACTCGTATAGATTTTCATCTGAATGGGTTCTTTGAAAAGTTCGGACAATTGGCAAACTTGGAGCAACCAGCCAAATTTAACATTTCTAAATCGGGTAGACGAAATAGACGATTGGGAATACTAACAAGATTAATACAATTTCTCAAATTTAAGAATTTGAGCTCCCTAGGATAAGTAATAGATAGATCAAGCTGCGATAACTTAATGCATCCTTTAAGATCTAACCTGTTAAGTCTTGGACATTCCAGAAAATTTGGCGCCCTGGTTAAATCTTTGCAGCCACTAAGATTCATGCTTCTCAACCGAGGGAGATGTGGGCAACGAAAACGGAGCTGTAGGCAATGACGAAAACGGGCTCCATACTCAAGTGCTCTGTCTGAGCCGGGTGATTCCTAAAAGAAAATGTAAGAAGGGAAGTTGAAGATTTTCGTAGAAAACTTCACACAAAAACACTTAACACATATAAACATGCATAAATAAAAATAAAAATATATAACAGAAATTATATATATTAGTTGATATAAATATTTTTATTATTGCTCATAAGCAAGTGGTTTCCATTTACTTGTGATGCAATTATCATGTACCTTTTCTTCATCCCATAAGCTTGTTATGCAGCTATCAGGCAAAATCAATTCTCCAAGAACAGTTGGTTCAAAGCTTGATGGTAAAGAAGTGAAAGGATATTGGTGCCATGAAATATATCGGAGAGTGTTCGAAAGATGTTTTAGGACTCCAGAAAATTTGACATTACGAAGTATGAGTATTCTAAGACTGTCCATGCGTGATAAACCTTCGACCCTCAACGTAGTCCCTTGTGAATCTTCCAGCTCCAAGACTATTGCTTCAACATTAAAAGTAGCCTGACAAGACACACATTTATATAAAAATGATGAAAAGTGAGATTACTTTAATTCAAGCAAACAAAAATGTTATAGGAACTTACGGTGTCATTTTGCATAACTCTAAAAATATCATCAAAATCCCATAATCTACTCCACTTTTCTGGCTCACAAGGGAATTTACGCCGAACAATGTTTCTTCCCATTTCTTGCAATAAACGATGAATTTGTATTTTTTGATCTACAATGGCCATGAGTGATTTTTCAATCAAAACATGCGTATTTATCGACACGTTCTGTACTCTCCAAAATTCCTTCTACAAACTTAATCTCCTTCCCTGTGAAAAAACATGCCATGTCTAGAAATAGTTCCTTGTAACCGCGGCCCAGTTCGTCAAAACTCTTTTTAAGGACCTCCATTATCACTGAATCAGCGACCTTTTTGAATTCAACCAAGGCACTGCTCCATTCAGAAGGCCTTCTATTATATAAGAATTGGCTCAGTGCTACAATTGCTAATGAAGGCCGCTAGCATATTTGAGTACATTATCAATTTGTTCCTCATAACCTCTCAATGGAAAATCACATTTGAAAGCTTTTTTACAAACTAATTGAAGAGCTTCATCCTTAGTCAATAGCTTAACCCTATAAATATCATGCTTCCAAGACCTTTTAACCACTCCTTCATCTCTAGTTGCCACGATGATTCTACTCCCTCCACCAAATTTGCTACCTCTTACGGCAAGGAACAGCGATGATTTAATATAAGAAATATCAACACAATCAAAAACCATGAGAGTTCTGTTGAAGAGATGTCTTAGCCCTATGGTCTCACAAAATTCATGTGCATTGAGTACCAAATAAGATGCATCAAAATGGTGAGATATCCTTTCGTAGAGAACTCTTGCCAGAGCTGACTTCCCTATTCCACCCATACCACAGATGCCCACAACTCGAACTTCATCATTTGAACCCAAATCTAGAAGCTCTACAACTTCACTCACTCGAGATTACATCCCTACTAGATCTACATCAGCATAGACTAATTCACGCATTTTTCTCTTGAGCTCCTTAATGATGTCATCAATAACTTGTGGCTCTGGCCTAAATAAGGGAAAACCAAAATGAAAGCACCAAATAAATCGCTTCGTCAATACTCTATTTCATTAATTGATCAACAGTTACTTGAAGATCAATAATTTGCCTATCAAGACTTCTAAAGTTTTGATGTAGAAAAACTAATTACTTACTCTCGTTGTACATGCCAACCAGGGAGGTTGGCCACTTGTTTTATTGCTAACCTCCAATTGCATACCGTGCGTAAATTTGTTGTAAACCTTTGTTCATGTTCAGCAAAAGCCTTTTCAAAAGAATTACTCTGCTTTTGAACCTCAGATGAATCGACATCATAGAAAATGGGGAAAACAGTATACCGTGGCTCATGAATGCGTTCAGCAATCTCTGAGAGCTCCTCGAGGCACCATATAGAAGAAGCATAGCTTTTGGAGAAGACAACAATGGCGATGTTGGATTTTCGAATTGCTCTGAGGAAGTGGCGTGGAAGAACGATGGAGTAGTCACCTGGGTCAAGCTTCTTGTCATCCCAAAAGGTATTCAAATCATTACTTTCAAGAGCAACCCAAAGGCTATCTGTGAATCTGCAAGTTTCATTGTCTCCGATGAAACTTAAATACACATGGATTGGCCTTGATGATGATGACGGTCCGCTTATGAAATTCTCCTTCGTCACTTTCATGATCGGTCGCCTTTCTCAATGGGAATTAAGCTATAGATATAGTGGAGTCACAATTGCTCGATCCCCTAGCTTTCGAAGATCTATTAATGGCACAGCGAATGGAAATAGATCAATAAAATAAGAACCTTAACGTGAAACGAAGAAGAGAGGGGTCGCTAAGGTGGAAATTTCTTGCCTTCTTGGAGCTTACCCTATGAGGTGCGAAGAAGGGTAGGTAAAATCTCGTTTCACAACACAAATTTTTTATTTTTATTATAATAATGAGCAGTAGACAGCAGCAAGAAACGAACCGCAAGCATGCCCCTTTGATAATTAATTATTAGCGATTTATTTATTTGTTTATCACTATATAAGGGGATCGGACTAGTCCGACTATGTCATGAATAGCTTGTAGCCTGACTTGGGGCGAAAAAAGTACTCGATTCGATTCTTAATGTAAGGCTTGTTTTGCAGCATAAATTATACTCCCTCCGTTTCTTATTATAAGAGACATTTGATGTTTATGGCATGTTCCTATATATAAGAGACACTTAAAAGTTGTCTCTAATTTTTTGTGTTGATTTCCTATTTTACCTATATTTATTGTCTCCAACTCACACTCTCTCTCCCTCCCACTTCTCTTTCTTTCAATAATTTAATTGTTTTTTCTCATGCTCTCTCTCCTTATTAATGAGGGCATTTTTGAAAAAAAATTATATTTTTTAAACATTGATTGTTCTTAACTAATTTTAACTGCTTTTTTTATCAACGTAATTCGGTTATTCGTCTCTTATAATAAGGAACGGAGGGAGTACTAAAAAGTAGGTTTTATATTAATAACAGTCAATTATTAGGTACCAAAAGACAATAAATTTTGTCACAATACTTGATGATTTCATTATTAAAACTGTCAAGCATTTTCATAAATATTATTAACCCATTCACTTATTATTTTCATAGAATACATATTCGGATTTTTTTGGTGATTGTTTAGCTATTTTAATAGATGACCTGGATTATAAGGGGGATCAACTTTGTGATCTCTCATTTACATATGAGCATCTATATCACTAGGTTACAATATCATTGGTGGAATTCAGACCTAAAAGCACCAATTTAATCACGTAGTCACCGGATTGTTTCACTAATTGGTCAACAGTTACTTGAAATTCTTTATAATTTGCCGCTTGAGAATTTGAGACTTGAAATTTTTGATAGAGAAAAACTAAGTACTGTCCAAAGCTTTTTTTTAATTTTTTTTAGTGAGACAAGATTTTGAAGATCTTTAATCGCTCTGCAAATTATAAAAGATGTGCGTACACGGATAAAAGTGGAAGCATAAAAAGAAAAAGGAAAAAGGCCGCCAAGGAGGAAATTTCTCGGAGCCTGCCTTTAAAAAGATCCTAAAGAGGAGTCTCTATCTTTATAATTTCTTTGAGCAAAGTGGGGATGCAAAGTAAATTGATTCTTATTCTTTTTTTTGGAAAATTACAATCAAGTCTCATAAAAGAAAAAAATATAAAACAAGTCCCAGATGTTGTTATTCTCCACTGTAGGACTTGTCATTACAAGCTGTTCAGATTGTTATTGGAACATTTTAGTAATAATTTCTCTTCTATGGGACTTGATTGTAATTCTCCCTTTATCCTTTATGAAAAGGCAAAATGACACTAAATAATAAAGTGCCTTTTATTCACCTTTAAATATAAATAAATAAATGAACAATTAAACAAAAATGCCTCTTTATGATATGTTCGTCCTCTTTCTAATTGATGGATCAAGCTGTGATAATTTAGTGCATCCTTCAAGCTCTAGGCTCTCAAGATATGGAAGTTCTTTGAAATTTGGCATTTTCGTTAAAACTCTGGACCCACAAAGATTCTTGTCTCTCAATCGAAGAAAATATGTCAATGGAAAATAGTGTACCGCACATTAGCTAAACAATATCTATAAGTTAGAAGGGCTTGCGCACACATACTTATCATTAGGCAAAATCAGTTCCCAAAGACAATATGGTCTAAAAATTGAAGACAAAGAAGTGGAAGGATATTGGTGCCATGAAATATATTGGAGCAATGCTGAAAGAAATGACACAAGAAAAATGTTTTTGGGTAGCAAAATAGAGGCATTGGGTGAATTGGAGCAAACAGAGCAAAGCAGAGTGTTCTGGCTTGGACAGAGTATCAAAATGACGAGACTGTAAGAAACACAACGGATTCGCTTCTATCAATAAATGGAGAATTGCAATGAGATCACAAGTAAGAAACATAATTACTAAAAGTTCTAGTGACAACAAAACAGCTTGTAATGACAAGCTTTAGAATAGTAAATTATAATTACCCATTTGTCATTATGACTTTTGAGCAATCATGTTCTATATTTGGAATTTCATTGCAATTCTCCCTAAAGGATACATACACATAAGAAGCAAAAGATATGTTGTAAGCACACATATAAGGGGGGGATGAGAAATAGAGCAGTTAAAATATATTTTTATTTACGTAATTTCTTTGTCATGCAAGAAAATGGTTGCTGATGAGTAATTTCAGTTTCATCAAGATCTTCAAAAGCAGGAAAATTCAAGTAGTTGAAGCTCTCGTTCATCTTTAGTTGTTAACATAATTCTACTTCGACCGCCAAACCAATCAGATTCCAAAATCCAATTTATTACTCTTAGATTTTGTACAATCATATAGCTACTTGTTAACTTCGAGGATATAGTGTCATTTCAACACTTTTTTGTTTTTGTTTTTGATACAACTGGCATATTTGTATATTCTATAAATACTCAAGATAGGAATATGTGGATTTTGTTTTTGGATTGCACATGATTATTTTACTTGTACATATTTTGGTGTTGGCTCTAGGTATCATTTTCTGGTTTAATTGTTGTTGTAGAGTGAGGTTGGTTGAGGAACCAAGCCATTCTAGGAAGTTTGCGAAGCTCTTTTATTATCTTATTACAGTATAAGGCTTATCTTTGTGATTAATACAATTAATAAACACGCATATATATATATATATATATATATAAAATTTAAGAAGTTGCATTAATGAAGTACAATCTTCAATCTTACCCTTGAGGCTAAGATGATAAAAAAAAAAAATCAGAGATAACTGACAAAAAGACAATCTAATGTAGAACAAGAAAGGATTGGGAGGGATGAGAAGTTAGAGAAGAGGAAGAAGAAGAGAGGAGAAGTAGAGAAGCAGGGAGAACGGGAGAAAAACTGATCGATAAATTCTAAATGCCAAAGTCTGATTACAAACTGAAACCCTAAACTATAAATAAAAGAAAGAAATAAAATAAATAAAAGAAATAAAATGAGGGGAGTGGGGAAGTGGGGTGAATGGAGTAACTACCCACGATCTAAAATAAACAATAATAAAAATAATTAATTAGTTAAATTAAATCTGCATCATTTCTCCCCGGGTTGGAAGAACTCGCCACTGGAGAGTTGGATAGCTGGAAGTCATCAAGGAAGGCAGGGTCTATACGACGAAATTCGTCCTCGGTGAGCCACGTGGCGTTTGCATCATTGCAGCCTTTCCAACGAACGAGGTAACGACTGATGGGACCTGCTGGAGTAGATATCGTCTGCTCATCCATCACTGTGTCAATGGCTTGGGCGGGTAGCGCAACCTTAGGCAACGGTGGAGTTAGGGCTTGTTGGGTCGGGGTACCTGCAGCATCATCAGAAAACAAAGGGGGCGGCTTGAAAGTGCCTCGATAAGGAACAAGATCCTTAATATTAAATACTGGACTGATAGCCATATCTGGAGGTAACTCTAATAAATATGCATTAGGCCCTAACTTCTTGGAAATGCAAAACGGGCCAGAGGCATGGGCATGCAGCTTCTTGTAAGGCCTCTTTAGGAAACGCTCAGGCCGTATGTGAGCCATGACAAGGTCGCCAACATCGAACTCTTGGTGACGTCGATGGACATCGGCAGCTATCTTATACCTGTCATTATTTAAAGTTAACTTACGCCTAACTTCAGCATGAATATCGTGAAGGCGATATGCAAAGGTCTCGGCGGACTCAGAAGGGCGAGCAGACAGGGGAAGGGGAACAAGGTCAATAGGCTGCTTTGGGTTGTAACCTTGAACAATTTGGAATGGGCTTTTGCCAATGGATCTATTGACCGAGTTATCGTAAGCAAATTCAGCTATAGGCAAGACTAATTCCTAGTTACCAGGCTTATCACCAACTAAACTACGGAGCAGGTCACCTAAGCTACGGTTAGTTACTTCAGTCTGTCCGTCAGTCTGAGGGTGGAAAGCAGATGAGAACTTCAATTGTGTCTCGAAGAGCTTCCAAAGGGTCTTCCAGAAATAGCTGACAAACTTGACATCCCTATTAGAGACAATCGTAGTAGGCAAATCGTGAAGACGCACAACCTCTCGAAAGAAAAGCTTTGCTAGATGTGATGCATCGGTAGTCCTACTGCACGGAATGAAATGTGCCATCTTTGAGAATCTATCAACCACAACTAAGACAGAGTTGTGCCCTCTCACTGTCTTAGGCAACCCAAGCACGAAATCCATGCTAATGTCCTTCCAAGGTGCCTCAGGAATAGGAAGAGGCGTGTATAATCCAGTATTCCTCTTCTTTGCCTTGGCTGTATGGCACATAGACACTGGGAAAGGATTCGAGCAACATCACGCTTAAGGGAAGGCCAATAGAACCTATCTTCAACTAGGGTTGTAGTCTTCTGAACACCGAAGTGTTCTGCTAACCCTCCAGCATGCAATTCCCAAACAAGAAAATCGCGTAGTGACGTGCGGGGAATGTACAATCTCAACCCACGGAACAGATAGCCATCATCGATAAGGAAATCCACATGATCGTGGCGGTTGCCATCTTTAACCTCGTTATAAATGATACCAAAGTCAGGACACAAGGTGTACTCATCTTTGAGCCTGTCAAAGCCCACGACACTAACCGTCAGAGTGTTGAGAACGTGGATTCTTCGGCTAAGAGCGTCAGCTACTTTGTTCTCTACCCCTGGGCGGTGCTTGACCACGAAGGTAAACTCCTGAATGAATTTGCTCCACTTGGCATGTTTGGCATTCAAATGCTGTTGGGAGCTAAGGAACTTGAGAGACTGGTGGTCTGAGTATATGACAA